GAATATGCAAGGAATGTGTTTGTGTTAGGAAATTATTATTATCAACTAAACTCAGAAACAGTAAAAGTGACTTTGTTATAGAAACTTCAATATATACCTTAAAAGAGACAAAGTCATGTATATTTCACAGGTTTAGCACTTATAAATATTGCATAAATTCTTTTGTGCTTTTTCCATCTGAATAATATATAATAGCTATTGCTACATGGCAAGTCAGCCTAAAACCGGCTGGTTTATCTGCTAGAATAGTGCACTATTATTCCACAGTCTATTGTTTTTGGGGAGAATTTACTGTCCTCTGCTAGCCATAACTGATGACAGAGCTGGTTCTCAACTGTTTGTTCAGCTGCCCTGTGATTTTGTCCTGGCTGTTCTAGGATGGCTTTCCTTTACAGGTTGGCTGAGTGCTGACTAGGATTACAATAGGGATGTGAAATACCTTCAGTCTTTAAGCTAGATAGCCCAAGCTTGTTCTCCTGATACATGCAGAAGGCTGGAGGGGGAAGCTCTGCAAGGCTCCTGAGGCCTAGACTCAGAAGTCATCCAGTGAGCCAATGACCTGCAATGTCGCTACAGTAAGGAACGGACTCATTAGGATGGCATTTAAAGCTATACTGAAGGTGTATGAGCACAAGAAAGCAGAATGGAGAAGGTTTTTGCAATCTATCTCTTCCTTTGCTTTTTTATTTTCTAGAATATTTTAATTCCATGATGTCATTATGCCACTAATATTCTGGAGATTTTTTTATGTTTGAAGTTGTGATGTAAATGATTCTGTAAATCTAATAAGAGCCTGCAAGCTAACTGTAATCTTAAAATCGAGTAGTATTAATAGAGATTAATAGAGACTAATCCTATCTCCACCAGGAGTACAGTGGCCACCACTACCAGTACTGTTAGGATCGACTCTGTGCTAATTATACATTGTTCCACCTGATCCTAAAGAACATCCCTTATATCATATAGAAACTATTAAACTTACTGGCATGAACTGTATGAGAGAGGCCAAATTAACTTTCTTGAGCAACATACTGAGTGGTTGCATATGTACAGTGATTCAGTTTTCCATGGTCTGGTTTGTTATCCGACACTTTCTCGGGAGACAAAAATGCAATCAACAAAGGCTTAGCCTCCCTTCTTTTCTTTTCTAAAGGCATAAGATCAATTAAGTCAAGAGAGTAAATTGTTGCTAGATATGTTGCCTTGCAATGTCAGAGGGAATTGCGAGTATAGCCTTAGTTGTAGGGCACTTGTCTGGCATGTAGGAGATCAAAGTTTGGTCTATAGCACTACAAGCAAACAAACAAACAAACAAAAAGCCTAGATGTATATCTATGAACTCTCTTTGTAGTTGGTATATTGGAAGTAGCACTTTGGCAAGTATCTGCTTATACTTGCCTAAACTAATGCCTCTAAACTAACCTGTTCTTAATTCCTATACAACTAGTTGTTCCAGAGAAGCTTAACCAATTGGAAGGGTCAAATGTATGATGTGACATCTATCAGTCTGTTTTCTTCTATTCTGTCATGTAACAGAAATATATTTCTCTATTTCCATCAATGTGCTAAAATAATGAAAGAGTTTTATCCAATTTTGAGACTCATGAAAGTGTATTGATTTGTCTTGTGTTATAGTCAATGTCATAAAACTAAGCTATTAGAAATTGTCTCTATGTAGCTGGATCTCAAAATACCTTTGTATATTTTACACTTGTCTTATGTGTCAGCTCTACCCTGTGCTCCAATAATTGCTTTTATCTTTGAGCTCTGGCATGAGTCATTAAATTCAAATTCTTTTAAAAAAAGATAAATAGGATTATAATTTTATTGCTGTTTTCTGTTTCAAAATAGAATTACCTAATGATGTGCCCTTTATGTTTCTGACAATGAAATAAGGCTTACTTTCTTTCTCAGCCTGGAAGCTATTTGGGTCTTCTGACTTTAGAATTGAAAGCTTTCTTAAAAGTGGTCTCACATTTTACCTTTTAATAATTTTAATGTCATACCAGAAGAGCATGCAAATTGCAGGTAAATGGAAGGCAATTCCTATGGAAGATAAGAATGAGCTATATTATGGAATTTGATATGTAAAAAAGCATGTAGTTTTATTGTAAGACTGAAATTCAATATAGTACCATTTCTGTTTGTTTTGTGATCGAGTCTATGTAGCCTTGGCTGGCGTGGACCTTACTACGCATACCAAGTTGGCCTATGATCCTCCTGCCTATCCCACCAGAGCATAGGGATTACTGCTATAACTCTCCCGTGTCCTCTTATGGGATAGGATAACTTGGTTGACCATGCAGGCAAAACTATTAAACTTCCAAGTCCAATGGATGCTCCTGAGCAACAAGCTTTTATGAGCTACTCTGCTACAGTAATTAGAGACCATTTAATTCATTAGTCTAAATGAGGAGAATCAATAAATGAGCCAGTTCTGACTTAGTTTGCCATCTTTAATTCTGGTTATGATAATATATTAGATATTCACCTGGAAATGTGGTCTCTTAACATCATCATGGTTTTAAAAGCTCTACTCCTTACAAATAGGGGGCAATTCATTAAACACATATGTGAGATGCCATTGAAGCCATCAGTATTAAACATTAATGTAATAGAATGTTCAAGGATATACTCTAGGAGTGGTATGTCACTCTAGGTAGTAAATTCAACTATTTAAGGGGGAGGAAAAGGAAATTTCAAAGGGCAAATGTTAATATTTTCTTTGCACATTTAATTTTTGAAGTGGATGGAATGTCTTGCAGCTTTATGCTAATGTGTAGATAAAGGTAATGTTTTTATTCATTTTGTTTTGTTGATCAGAATAAGTTATTTCAGAAGGAAAATGAGCTGTCAATTATCACAGTGATATGTCTGAAAATAGATTAAATTAGTTATATAAGTTGTCATACTTGTAAATATTCTTAAGTAAGCAAGGATAACTTTGGCTTTTAAATTCTCATTTTCCTGATGCATGATTAACATCAGATAAAGTAAAATAATGCATAAAATGTTTTCCCAGTTCCTATCCTATGAGGAGTCTGTAGTAGTAGGGTCCTGTATTTCATGATCATTGTAGAATTTCTCAAAGTCAAAATACAAAATGAAATGTTGCCAGTGAATATTCCCCAGCTCATTAAAAAATGGCATTAGTTTGTTTTTTTCCTGTTTGTTTTACTTTAAATGTGACTTACTCACATTTGTATAGGGAAGACACATGCCATGTCTAGTGTTAATTGTCAACTTGACAGAATCTAGAATGCTCTAGGAGATAGGCCTATGGCCACACTTTTGGGACATTATCTTAATTGTATTAAATTGAGGTGAGCAAATACATCTATTGTGGACAGTACCAATCTCTGGCTAGTATCTTGAACTATGTATGTAGCAGAAGGGAAAAGAGCAGTTACAAGCATGCATTCGTGTCATTGTCTGAGTTTGAAAGCAATGTGATCAGGCTCTTCAGTTGCTTACTGCCTTGGTTTCTCCATCATGCTAGACTATGCCTTGAAATCTGAGCTAAAATTAATCTTTTATTCCTTAAGTTGTTGGAGTATGTTTATCATAGCAGCAGGAAAAGAAACTGAGAACACAGGCTCTACCATCTCTTTCTTTCTTTTGGTTTTGCACTGCTGACAATTGAATTTGAGGACCTATCCCTGAGCTAGCTGGCTGCTCAGCTCCTAGGATCTCTTGAGTTGCAATTTGAGATGAAACTTATGAGCTAACATATTTGGAAGTAAATTTAAATTTAGTAATCTGTCTGTTTCTGTAATGAACAAATAAAGTAATTAATTTTTATAATAATAAGAAATTTGTATTCATGAAAAAATATCACATTCTAAAGCAAAATATTGTGGTACCATCACAGAAATATATTATGGAAAAAATGTGAAGATGCTAGTATAATATTTCAGGGAGATAAATGAAGTAAGAGTAGGAAAGAAAGGAAGGCAGTTTTAATCCTTATTTTATTTTCAAATGGGAATCAACTGAAGACTTTTCTTCTGCTTGAAACAATGACATTATTTGTAAATTTTACTTAAAATCTATTGTTTTTCTCCATTTGCTTTGTGTGTGTGTGTATGTGTGTGTGTGTGTGTGTGTGTGTGTGTGTGTGTGTGTGTGTGTGTGTGTGTGCATATGTGGATGTGGATGTCTGTGCATGGCCATGAGTGACTGTTCATGTGTGTGCTCATATGCAGGCCAAGGAGCAACAGTGAATGTCTTCCTTCATCACTCTGTATCTTCATAATTTTTACCTTTTTATGCTTTGAGAGTTTTTTACATGAATGTAATGAATTTCCATCTTTTCACACCATCTGGATGTACCCAGTCTTGATAATGTTACTTTTTGGGACAGGACCTCTCATAGAACCTGTAGCTAACTAATCAGCTGGACTAGCCACTCACGGAGCCCCAGGTACCTGTGGTCTGTCTTCCCAGGACTGATTTTGTAGCCAGTCCCAGCCATGCCAGGCTTTTTGTTTTGCTTTTTGAGATTCAGACTCAGGTCCTCATGCTTGCTTGCTCAACGCCTTAATGACTAATTCCATCTTCTGAGTCCCCTCCATTATTTCCTCACTTTTTCCTTCTTTCTTACTAGAAATATCATCTAATGTGAATATGAAAATGTAATTTACCAGAAGAGCCCAAGTTTTGTCTTTATGATCTTTAATAATGTAAAGAATTGATTGAGAATTTACTCCTTTCTGAATAAGATTAATGAAATTTTTCTCTGACTCATTACAGTGTGAGAAATGGCTTTCAATATAAATCATACTCTAATTTACAAATAGGATTCATTGGAATGGTTCATAGTTTAAAATATATCATACATTAAATGTCTCTTGTTTTGAATATAAAGAAGAAAAACTCTTATAGTATTATTAGATAGAAAGCTCATTAGTTTGTTAATTACAAATGTGTTTAATTTTTGCTGTGTTCCCATTTTAAAGTAGATTAACTAATATCCTGTTTATCTGGGGGGTCTTTTCCAGGTTTCCCACATTTTCCTCAGTTGGGATTGGAAAGTACTAGGACATTAAGTTTTTCAGTCTCTGTGTGTTGCCTCCTTTCTGAAGAATGATGGGGCTGCTGTTACATGGAAGAGGACTGATCCTGAGTCTAATTTTCCTCCTGGTTAAGTTGTCAAGAGCTGAAATACCACTTTCAGGTAAAAGCACTGTGTCCAGTCCTGAATATGGAACTTGATGTCTGCTTTTTAAGTAGAACATGTGTGGATTGAGGATGTAACTTTTCTATCCTATTTCTGAACTATCATGATGATTCATGACTACACTTTTCAGATTTGGGTTAGGATATTTAGTTGCTGTCATAAATTTTCAACTTAGTTGCTTGGCTTTTTATGTAACCTTGGTCTGTTACAAGAAATATAACTGAAAGAACAGGTGATATTTTGTCATATGTCCAGGATGACCTGGAATATTACTTAAAGCTTTTTCTTTTATGTGCTTTGGTTATATATTTAAGGAGAATTTTGAATTAGAAATGGCTAACATTACAAAAGCTATAACAAAAAGGAATTAAATAAGCCTCATTTTTAAAAAGATTTGATTTGTTTTCAAGTATTTATATATGTGCTCATATGTGGGTGTGTGCATATGAGTGAATGTGTCCTCGGAGGCCAGAAGAGAGTATCAGATCCTTCTAGAACTGGGGTAGCAGGTCTGACACTGGAGCTGGGATCTGAACTTGGATTCTTTGCAAGAGCAGTACAGACTCTTTACTGCTGAGCCATTTTTCCACCCCAGAAGCCTCCTATTCTTTCCCAAAGTAATTTGTACTTAAAAATGGGAATTACTATAGTCAAAAGTTTTCTCCAGTCCCGCCCGGCCCCGTGGTCAGGACAAGTTTCTCCCACCCACAGTCCTAAAGCCACTTATAAAATAATAACTCAGAGGCTTATATTATATACAAACTGTGTGGTCTCACTAGCTAGCTCCTATAACTTAACCCATTTCTAGTAACCTATTAGTTGCCACATGGCTGTGGCTTACCAGTACTTTCACATCTTACTTCTCCTGGGTGTGGCTCCTGACTCTGCCTTTCCTCTTCTTAGCATTCTCCTACTCTGCTTGCCCCCCCATACTTCCTGCCTGGCTACTGGCCAATCAGTGATTTATTTTTCAACCAATCAGAGCAATACATATTCACACAGCATATAGAAAGACATCTCAGAGCAAATGACAAATTATGAAAAATAACAAAAAGTCATGTTAGAGCCCAAAATATTACCTATTACTGCCAAAGTATTACCTAATACTGCCTCCCAATCTAGTGTATTTTAGTGTGAATTATGAATATATATTTATAATTTCTTGGTAATTGTATGCAAAAGGTTAGTCATTATCAATCATTTTCAACAAATTATAATATTAATAGTTTAAAGTAATGCAACTGTAAACACATTTTATGTAATGGTTTGAAATGTAAACAATTGGAGGATTTTCTAGCTATGAAAAGACTTTGAGATGTGATTCAGGTATTTTTATCATGTGTTTCCACCAGAATCCCTTCTGTGTCTACTGTATATAGTGCTGAAAGTTATGAGTCCTTTTTTTTTATTAGAATATGAACATTGAAAATTAACATTATGGATCATGTGAATTCTAAGGAAAAGGTCTAGAAATACCATCTATTGTGAAATTTTGAATATGAAAATGTTCCATCTATTGTGGACAATTTATTAAATATTTTGAGTACTAATATTAAGGTAAAACTTTCCTTTTGAAGTACTTAGACTCAATGTGACTAGAAAGCAAGAAAACCATTTGTGATGTGTTTTAAAATCACCTTTGACAGTCAATCTTAATTACTTTAAGGAAGTTGTTGTCCAATACTACCTTGATTCCTCAGGTGAGAATCCACTCTCTTATATTCTTAACAAATGGTTGAGCCTCTGTTTCTGTATTCTCATTTGTTAAGGAAGCTCAGTTTCCTGTTCTGCATGTATGTTTATGTACACAGGCACATTTCTTTTACATCTTGCAGCTTGTACAAGTTCATCAAGATTCATCAGTAACCAGCTGAGATTATAAACACCCTCATATTTAGTAGATTCTCCCCTTTAAAAGAAATTATGTGGGTTTTTTTTTTGTTTTTGCTTTTGTTTTGCCTGCAGGTGTGTCTGTGCACCATGTGCATGCCTGGTGCCAAAAGAGGCCTGAAGAAAGCAATATATACCTTGGGACTGGAATTAGATGGTTGTGCAACATTTTATGTGTTCTGGGTACCAAACCTAGGTCCCCTGGATGGGCAGCAAGTGCTCTTAACTGCTGAGCCATCTTTCCAACCTCATTAAGTTTTCTTGTGTAAGAGTGCAGGGCATAGTTAAGAACCACAAGGATGACTGTGGTATTCCAGATTCAAACCTCTGACCTTCTTCTCTAACAAACACATTCATGCTCCCTGTTTTTGCACTTGTTCTTCAGTGATGAAGGATGCAAAATTTTGTATTAGCTTATGTCACTTAGTATTATTCTGATAGTCCCAGTTATGGTTCATGCTGTAATGTCCTCAGACGATTGTTATAAAATATTAATAGCATGTTTTCAGAGCAACTGAATATTGCCCATTTATTTTGGCACTCTAGAGCACTCACTAGTAAATGAAACCAAGGCAGGTATCCAATTTGAATGTCAACGAGTCTGGTGTCTCTGTAATTGGCCTAATTATAGAGGAAAGGATTTGTAATGTGGAATATATATTCATACAAACACCCAAAGGTTATTATCTCCATTCCCTGAATAATTAGTTATTGCAGAGCCTTTACAACCTTAGCAAATTTAAGAAAGAATAATGTTGTAATAAACAAGTTGTTCTCAAGTTATTAGCTGGTATCTTTGGGATTGCTGCTGCTGCTGTGCCTCTCTCTACCATTTGTAACTGCAATAGAATTTAAACAGGATGAACTTACAAGAAGCTCAATACTCACTTTGCTTAGAAATGGTGTTAATCAGAAATGAGACAACTGCCAATGACTATGAGGATGCTTTCAGCAAATACTAAAGTGGTGATCAGTAGCCACTGGATGAAGCCTGAACTTGAATTACTGTGTGCAGCATGATGACAGTGTGACTTACCACATTTATTAGACAAAAAGAGAATCAATGCAATTTTAAAATTGAGGAGAGCTTTGGGTTATTAAGTCTTAGCTGGCTGTTGATGCATAAATGACAACTTGTGGATGCTTCAGGATCTCAGAGATACATTGAGATGGTTTGTGGGATTCAAGTGTTTTAAAAATAATATCCCAGTGCCAGTTAGGGCCACCTTTTACTGTCACTGTCCTCTGCATTGATTTTTTGAAATCTATGGTAGAAAAATTCTCTTTCCTTAACACAAAGGACGGCATGAGCTCTAAGCTGTTCAACACACAAGGTGTATTTCATAGCCCTGCACTCATAGTCATATACTCCTAAAACAGAACAATTTTTCTTAAAATTAAGATTGTTGAATCCATGAAACAATTAATGTTATTCTCTACTTCTAAACAACACTGGAATGCACTGTAAAATAGACATAAAATAATTCTGCTGCCTTAAAGTGAATGGATTTTCTGATTTCTCAACTATATCATTGCTTCAGCACACACCCTATTTTTACTTGAAAGTATGACTGGCAGACTAATCATGGTTGGTCAGATGTTTACAGGCAGATATTTTTCCCCCAAATGAGCAAAATCATCCTGGCGATTCAAGATAAACTGGCAATATAAATATGATAACTGTCAATGACCAAATTTGAGTGTTCAAGTAAAAATTAGACTTGTAGAAGACTTGTGTCCTCCACTATAAGCCTGAGCCCAAATGCTTTCAAACATCAGTGGTTTTCCTGATTAGATCAGTGACAAAGTAGAGTGACATTTTTTGATTGCCTGTTTGAAAATGTGCAAATATTTGTCAGATCTATATCACTCAGCAAACCCAGGCTTTTTCTAAACACTACTGTGGCCTTGTCTGAAACTCATAGGTAAAAAAGTAGGTAAAACTGTACAATATAATAGAATAAGAAGAGGCATACTGGTTAAGTTTTAGATTTCATATTATAATAGGTAAGAATAAAACAATAACCAAAATCATCTGACTGGAATATATAATTTCCCAGTCCTTTTGTTTATAGGTTCATAGGAAGCTGAATTTGTACATTTTTAATCACACTAGCTTATTACAACATAAAGAATGCAGAAGCAAACATGAGAATCTTGCTAGCATCCCTTTAGAAATGACAGTTGTACAGTCATGTAAAATAATGCAACTCTTCTCCTGATGTTTAGTGATTTTCGTAAGATATTATTTATAGCCAGGTGGTGGTGGTGCATGCCTTTAATCCCAGCACTTGGGAGGCAGAGGCAGGCAGATCTCTGTGAGTTTGAGGCCACCTGGGCTACAGAGTGAGTTCCAGGACAGGCACAAAGCTACACAGAGAAACCCTGTCTCAAAAAAACAAAAAAAAAGATATTATTTATATAACATATTGTAGGATTAATTTAAAAAATAAGTAAACACATTCAGTTTTTACTTTTTATGTAGTTAAAATTGTTACTTATAATCCAGTTAAACAGGGGCATTTTGGGTGCCTTGTAATTTTAAAGAAGGTGAAGAAATCAAGACCTGGCCCAGTGTCACAGGGTTGAAGGTCCTTCCATCTGTACTTTATGATTGAATAGTACTCAGTAATCAGTTGCTTGTCTTCAAATTACATTTCTCAAAAATACATACACCAAAGTCAGTTTCTGCTACTGGTTGCTTTGTAATTCTTTATACATCAATAATATAAATTAACAGTTGTCAGAATTGTACTAAAGACTGTCTCATGGCCAAATCAAACCAGTGGGAACTCATGAAAGTTGGATCAATGGCTGTGGGGCCTACATGGGACTGGACTAGGCCCTCTGCATGGCAAGATGGCTGTGTAGCTTGATCTGCTTGGGAGGCCCCCTGGCTGTAGGATCATAATCCATCCCTGGTGCATGAGCAGGCTTTTTGGAGTGCATTACCTATGATGGGACAACTCGTGCAGCCTTGTGGCAGGGGTGGGGGGGTGGGGGGCTTGTACTTGCCTCTACTGGATGTGCCTCCCCATGGGAGGCCCTTGCCTTCTTGTGGTGGGGGTGAGGAGTATGGGGTAGGTTGGGAGGGGGAGGCTGGGGGGGTTGGAGGAGGATCTTTGATTAGTATATAAAGTGAATGAAAAAAATTTCCTGATAGAAAAAAATTTAAAAAGAAATAAATGAATGTCTCAATTGGAAAATTACTGAATGCTCACCTGCAATATAGCATTATGTACATCATTATCTATGATCTATTTCAAAACTTAATCCAAGTGCCTGTCTTCAGCATCTATAAATTTTGTGTAGCCTTATTTTAAACTGTTTTTAGAATGGGGAATGACAATTAAAGTGGGAAAGAGAAATAAAAGATAAATTCATGGATGGGAAATGTCAAATACCAAGAAAGACTGCAGACAAGATTTAGCAACAAGAATAATAAATTGAAATCAAAGAAAAATTATTTTGCAATAAATATGGACTCCTAACAGATTTTAATGAACCATTAATCAATTGTTTCACACTATGAGGACTGCTATAATTATGCATTGTTTGTAAAATGATTGTGGCATTTATCCCTAGAGTCATTTCCATTATGTCCTTATCTGAAAATTCATCATACATTGATAATCCAATAATGGAAAATCTGTAATGTTCATGATATCTATTGAAATACATATTAACTAGAAAGAGAGATGGAAAATAAACATGCCCTATAATAGAAGAAATATCAAAAAAAGACACAGGATATCAGTAGGGTGAAAGATGCTAAATTAGATAATTATGATATCTAAATAGAAGCAGGAAAAATAACAGAGAAAACTTTCCAAATGACAGAAATGTATAAAAATCACTACACATGCCCACATAAATGGAATGCCAATATTTTAAAATTAGATATTTTAAAGTTATAATACAATGTTCTTTTTGTGTCTTAAAAAATTATTTCTGGGGTTAATTGAAAGTTATATATGAGGCAATATAAAATAATGGAAGGGGACATAACTATATGTTAAAGAGAAGTAAAATTCTTGGGATAACCTTTTACTTACTATATTAATTACTATTAATTACTATTCTAATTACTATGGTATAGTATATGTAAAAAAAAAAGCACCTATGGGAGGGAAAATTTGTTCTGGTTCATGTTTTGATGGGATGGACTCCAATGTGTCAGGGAAGGCAGTGAGAGGCAGACATAGCTAGCCAATTTGCACCCATAGTCAGGAAGCAAAGTGGGGTGAATGGCATTCAGGTGGTTACCCCATTTTCCAATATCCATGTCTCCAGCCCATTTCATATTCAGGAAGGCTCTCTCCTTCTCATTTAAACCTTTTTGGAAACACCCAGATAGTGCACTCTATCATGTGTCTCCTGAGCGATTTTAAATGCAGTCAAGTTGACAAGGAAGATCAACCATCACACTTGCCCATGTAGAAAGCACATGCCGGTCTCTATTCTTTAATCTTGTCCTGTTTTGAAAACCTCAATCTTCAAGTATATTGTTTTGCTATTCAGTTCAACAGGTTCCAACGATCATAAAGCAGTCATATGTGCAAGTTGCCTTTCCCTTTGATGAGTATTTTCAAATTGAATGTGAAGCTAAAGGAAACCCAGAACCAAAGTAAGTATATTAGTACGTGTATATTGGAAATATATATATTTGAAATTATTTTGTTTTATGCTGTTTTAATGTGACTACCATAACTTAGAATACAAATCTACATATTACTGAAACACCAAATTGCTAAGTAAATGGTAGTGAAGTCTACTGTTGTGTGATACCGAGATTGCATTCTGAAAATAAGGTTTGTTTTGAATCAGAGGGCAGAGCTAGACACCAGCTGACCAAATTAACCATAGAGGTTTTGGAGGACCGAGGAAGTAGCAAAGTGGGACTTAGGGAGGATCTTGCCACTTTTGGATAGAGTAATGGAGAGGTGGGAGGTCACTGGTGCCTGCTTTTCTGCTTCTCTGATCTTTCAGGTTCTTAGCCTGATATCTGACTCCTGATATTTTATTGATAAACAATAATTAGAATATACATCAGTTTAAAAATCAGAATATGTTTATGTATGTCACACAAGCCTATTTACATTATTATCCATGCAACTATTCACATGTGAGTAGAATTAATTATGTACTTTTTTTTCAAATACAATTCTGAAATATTTTTCTAAAACTATAATGACTTTTTCCCTACAAATCTACTGTCATTGTTTACGAAGAACTGTCCTAAAATATATGGGAAATAAATTTATCAAAGGATTACTCTATAGAGTTTCTTACCACTACATTATTTATTAGAGGAATAGCATTTAAATGGGTAATAAAATTATTTTTAATATTATTTTATTATTATTATTATTATTATTATGGTTTTTCTAGACAGGGTTTCACTGTGTAACTTTGGAGCCTGTCCTGGAACTCGCTTTTTACACCAGGCTGGCCTTGAACTTACAGAGATCCGCCTACTTCTGCCTCCCAAGTGCTGGGATTAAAGGCGTGTGCCACCACCAGCAGGCTAATATTATTTTAAAACTGACTTTTTTTGGTTTTTCAAGACAGGGTTTCTCTGTGTAACTTTGCGCCTTTCCTAGAACTTGCTTTGTAGACCAGGCTGGCCTCGAATTTACAGAGATCCACCTGGCTCTGCCTCCTTAGTGCTGGGATTAAAGGCATGTGCCACCACCGCCTGGCTAAAACTGACATTTTTAAACTGGAAAAAATATATATTTAAGATAGATTCAAATGTGTCACACACTTGAAAATACCAGATAAAAGGGGATTAATGGAATTTGAGTGTGTTTGTAAGTTTCTTCACACAGACATGTACACAGAAAAGCACATTCTATATTTGTCTTTACTTCATGTGCTAAAATATAGCAATGATCCAGAATTAGTAGTTGCCTGCTGTATCTCTAGGGGTGGAGCTTGAAGGTCATAGACAGAACAGCTATCCAATACATCTCCCCCTTTTGTCTAAATAAGAAAGTTCTAACCTAATATAAAACTATATACAATAAGAATGATTATCAAGTGTTGTCCAGGTGAGGGGAAAGGTAATAACCTAAACAAAAATAGAAATACAACCAGCAAGAACAACATCAAACAAGAGACACATACTAAAATCCAGAGATTTCCTGAACATAGGTAAGTGGTGTGTTACAGAGACTGTGTGTGTGTGTGTGTGTGTGTGTGTGTGTGTGTAGGTATATACCTTCAATTTAAAAGAGAATAAAACTGCTTTCAATCTCTTATCTCATTTTTCACTGTATTTTCATTACTTGTAAGATTTCTTGCATTTGTCTTTATACACTGTTAAGGTTTATTGTATATATTTAAAACTCATAAATTCTCTTGGTTTTATCATTTGTGCATTTGTTTAGTAAAACTTTTTTAAAATAAGAAATGTCACCAATACTTAGAGTATACTTTCTTTATCTTCTAGATTTTCATGGACCAAGGATGGCAAACATTTTGATCTTTCTGACCCCAGGATAATTGTATCTAACAATTCAGGCACATTCAAGATCCCAAATGAGGGGCACATCTCTCACTTTCAAGGGAAATACCGCTGTTTTGCATCTAATAGACTAGGAACTGCAATATCAGAAGAAATAGAGTTCATAGTTCCAGGTAAGTGTTCAGGTAGAGATTTCATTGAGAGTTGGTCTAGTGAAGTATTAAGTGGATATCATTTCATCTAAAGAAATAAATCAATATGAATTTAATCAGCATATATTTCATTTACTAGAAAAATTGCCCTCAGAGTGTTAATATTAATGATCAGTTATTGTGAGAAAGCACAATTGTACTGTGTTTCAGTTATATTCTATCTAACCTGGATAAAAAATCATTGTTGTCCATATATGATGATGATTAACTCCATTAGTACCTAAATTTAGCTCAGTATTCAGTAACAGATAATCTCAGAGCCTCCACATCACCACAAAGGCACTCTTTGATAGCACAGTTTAGTGCAGTTCTGTCAGGTTTCAGGACCCATATTCTTCATGTAGTCTTCTTGTGGATCCAGGGTGATACATCTCATAAAATATGCAGCCTCAATCTAAGAGTCTATGACAAAAGCATAAATAGCTGTTTATAGAACATAAATCCTTCTAGAAAGAGTGTCTAGGTCATTCTTTCACCTAGCTGTATAATCCCAGTTAAACAAAGTCATTCCCTGTAGTAGGGTAGGGCCAGTGACTTGTGGTGTAGACAATAGGTAGAAATCATGACAAACTGTAAATCCTTTTCAGTTAAGACTGTCATTTTCTAAAATAATCACCAATTTCTGATTATAATCTTTAACATAGCTTACCTATATGCATGAAATACCCACTCACTTTCTAAAATAATCACCAGTTTCTGATTATAATCATTAACATAGCTTACCTATATGCATGAAATACCCACTCACTTATTTTCCCTGACCTATGGTTCCTAACTTTACACAACTCTAACCCAAAGCTTTAGAGAGTAAATTCTTACATGTAAAAATTTTAGTTAGCCTCTTTGACAATTTCTTATTGTAGAATCTTATAAACATAAAGAACTCAAGAAGTGTCCTAGACCTGGTAGAATTTGGATCCCTGCTAAGACAAAATATACACAAATGTTAAAGTAACAAATAGTGATGAATTATTTTCTTGAAAGTTGAGCAAGAGTACTGTATATAAATTGTTAACTCCTTATCAAATTCTAAAACATTAAATAGTGAGCAAATTTGGACTCTTATGATTATGGTATTCACATTCAAATTTATAATGACACTGAAAATACAGATAAAATGAATGATTATCAGACCATGTGTTATGAAGTAAAAGTGAGAAAGGAAGGATGTGGAAAAGAGCGAAATAAGACAGGAATAAATCAAAATGTAAATCTAAGTACATCCCAAATTAAAGGTAAGAGTAAACTAAGTGAGTAGTTTTAAAATGCCATAAAATATCTAAACCATAAATATTCCAAATTTTAAAACAACAGGAAATGAAGAAATTATCACAGCTAAGGTATTTAAATTAACATTGGTTAACAACAGTCAAAACTTACTTTATTTTCAAAAGCCTTCCTAGAAATTAAGTAGTTAAGCATATATGATATTGAAATATGGGAAGCGATAATAATAGGCCTGTAAAAGGGAATAGATAAATATGCCATAATAACATCATCATGTGGTAATTCAAGCAGAAAAGAGCATTAGTAAGGGCATACAAGACTTAAGTCTGAAAGGTATAAGCTGCAACAAATGAACGTGTATGGAATATCATACCTAAACTGTGGAATGAATTATTTCATGTTTTGGGGAATAAATTGTAAAGAAGAAATAGTAAAATTGGTGATAAAGAGCTATAAAGAGAATATAATCAAAATGTAATTGAGCCAGAAACCAATGACAAAAGTACAATAAAAGTCTCCTATTTTTGAAAACTAAATAATTTATTTCTAACTCACAGATCAAATAAGAAATGTTAGGGAAAACAGTGAAAATGAGGGTTCGGAAAAGTCTTCTTGAGATATATTGCTACCATGACAGCATTATTTAGAGGAATATTCAATGTCTTTCAAACTTATGTGAGAAGGAACAATAATGGACATTAATAATAGAGGTTTATTATGTAACATAGCTTTAGAATGAAAATGAATGAGCTAACTTATGGTAACAGAAGGTTGTGGTGTGTGTGTGTGTGTGTGTGTGTGTGTGTGTGTGTGTGTGTGTGTGTGTGTCTGTGTAAAACTAATTCTAATGGTGTACAACATTTACTATGAGACACATACATCGTTACTAAAGAGGAAAATGGGGTCTGAAGAGAAGGTCCCATCAGTAAAGTGCTTGCCATGTGAGCATGAGAACCTCTGTTTGAGCCCCAGAATGTAGGAAGCTGCCATCACTGTGGCTTGTGTCTGTAATGTCAGTGCCATAGTGAGGACAGAAAAACAGACAGATCCCTGGAGCTCATGGTCTAGCCAGTCTACTTCAGTGAGAGAACTTGTCTCAAAAAGTATGTTGGAGTGATATGAGGTTAGCTGTGGCTTGTTCTGTCTCTCTGATCTTCCAGTATTCACCCCAATAACTGGCCCCGGGTTTGATTTTATTAATAAGACTCTTTAACATTCCTGCTACATCTGGCGCCCAACGTTTGTGGTACGAATTCATGAAAAAGCTACACTTGGCTGGTTGTGGTGGCACATGCTGGTAGGTTTTACTAAAGGAGGGAGAGGCAGGAGGATCCCGAGTTTGAGGCCTGCCTAGGAGACTTGGGAGAAGCTTCGGCCCGGACTGAACTACAAACAGTGGTGGGACCATGGAGGCAGTGGCTGCTACTCCGAGTTGCTGGCTCCTTCTCATTGTGTTGGTGACTGCAGTGATGCTGCTACCTGGGACGAAGGGTTTACTACTGCTGGTTCAGAGAAGAATTGCCAGGACCATCATGTTACAAGAAAGCATCGGCAAAGGTCAGTTTGGAAAAGTTTGGCAAGACAAATGGTGGGGAAAAAACTGCTGTGAAGATTTTCTCTTCTAGGGAAGAATGCTCATGGTTCCAAGAGACAGACATTTATCAGACTGTGATTGCTCCAAACCTCAGAGGAGGCACACAAAAAAAGTCTGCAGGGAACCATGACCACACCTAACAGCAACTTTGAAATCTTCAAAAGGATGACGGGACCCCACAAATATGATTCCACATGGACTATGCTGATTAACACCATGGAAAAATCGACTTTGGACTACAAACTGGTCAAGACAATTTCGAGATGACTAGCTGAGATGATCCAGCCTGACACACTACTCGAGCAAGAATTTATGACAAGCCCTGAACTTTCCTTTTATGCAGAGACTGGACAAATGATATAGGACTTGACAATTAACCCAAAAATTTTCTTTTCAAGATTTCCTAAAGATATCTTCACCCCTAGAAAGCAAAAAGAAAAAGAGAATAAGATATGAGATAGATCATTGAATCTACTCTGAGAAAAAAGATAAAGAAATAATAGGATAAATATTAGATCACTGAATCTACACTGAAGAAAAACGGGAAGATATAAAAATGACAAAAGGTAGACTACTGAATTCATTATGAAAAGAAAAAAGAGAGAATATAGATATGATAAGATAAAAAGGGAGGTTATGGAATCTACTTTTAAAAAGGAACTACCTGTTTTAAATAAGATAATTAATGAAAATTTTTTTGGTCTGAGTTTATCAAATGTTACTGGACTGGACATTGTTAATATATATAATGGAGTTTTTTGCCGGAATTTGTCAAATGTTAATGGACTAGACATCGTTAATGTAATCTTGACTGTGTATATTATATATACTTATTGGATATAATTTTTCTTGTATTAGTTATAAGCTTTTTTCAAATTTTGGACAAAAAAGAGAGGAAATGTGGTGGTATTGTGTTCCCCAAAATATTGTGAACCCTAATAAACTTATCTGGGGTCAGAGAACAGAAAAGCCACTAGATACTTAGGATAGGCAGTGGTAGCACACGCCTTTAATCCTAGCATTTCAGAGGCAGAAATCTATGAGTTCAAGGACACAGCCAAGCATGGTGACTCACGCCTTTAATCCCAGAAAGCAAGCCTTTAATCCCAGGGAGTGGTGGTAGAAGGCAGAAAGATATATAAGGCGTAAGGACCAGGAACTAGAAGCATTTGGCTGGTTAAGCTTTTAGCTGGTTAAGCTTCAGGCTTTCGAGCAGCAGTTCACCTGAGAGCTATTGGGATGAAGACACAGAAGCTTCCAGTCTGATGAAACAAGACTAAGCTGAGAAGTTGGCCAGGTGAGGTTAGCTGTGGCTTGTTCTGTCTCTCTGATCTTCCAGTATTCACCCCAATAACTGGCCCCGCGTTTGATTTTATTAATAAGACTCTTAAACATTCCTGCTACAGTGATATCAAGAAAGACACTAAATTATCTTTGGCACACACACACACACACACACACACACACACACACACACACACACACACACCATGCACACAAAAATCATGACATGATCTAGATAAACAGAGACTGAATAAACAATTTTTATGGGTCAGAAGACTCAATAGAGTTAAAATGTTCATCCATCCCTAATTGACATGGGATAATTTTACTCAGAATTCTTGTTTATCTGCCTGTATGTTTACGGAATGTGAGCAGATGAATGAAAAATACACAGAATACAAAGAACAATTTGAAAATGCTAAAGGGGTAAATGTAGCAAAGACTTGGCTTATCAGAAAATCAGGCCTCAGTATAACCATAAATAATTAGGTCAGTGTGGTTTTGAGTGGGATTAAGCAAGCTGAATTGGCCATATGAAAGTCTGATAAACCCAGAGACAAACCCCACTTACTAGAATGAAACAGTGAGAAGTTGAGTTCTTCCCTCAATCTTTCTCATTCTTCCACCTCTTTGCATTCTCCTCTCCTTTTTTCTCTCTCCTTTTCCTTTCCTCCCTTCCTCCCTCCCTCTTTTCCTCTGTCCCCCCTCTCTCTCCCTCCTTCCCTCCCTCTGTCCCTGTCTCCCATCCTTGTCCTTACCCTCTGTTCCCCCTCCTTCCCTTCCTTCCCTCCCCACTCCAGCTCTAGCTGGAATATAACACTTCCTAGTGGACCCTCAGGGCCCTGCATTTGGCATT